CCCCAAAACCCCAAAACCCCAAAACCCCAAGTCAAAATATAAAAATTGAAATTAAATTTGAAGAGGGGTACTTGAAATAGCACTAACTCTGTAGAGGCTCGCATGTATACTAAGAATAAACTAAATGTTCCATCTAATCACGAAAGTAGCGGCAGAAATTCCTATGTTCTACCAAAGAGAACTATTATTGTAAGACATTTAAGAATATATTCAGCTCTGAATACTTTTCACATCCCATTCTTTTCTAAAAACACAGGTATTTTCATAGCCATTATTTAAGCAAGTCCAAAATGATCCTTTTAAGCCATAATTTTCAAAGCTGTTTAGAATACGATAGATTGTGATGTGGGAAATTCCAAAATCCACTACCCAAAGAAAAGCGGGCACTTTAATTTAATGTCAAATAAGCAAGCTAATAAATCTCTGATGCACAATTCCTATAACTCTCAAATCAAGTCTGCCAGAAAGAGGCATAATCGATCAAATTCTATCAGAGAGGACCTAGAAACTGCAAGTTTGAGCCCTGAAACTACAACTTCGAAGTTATCAAAGGGGCATAGCAACATGAAGACAAACCCAAGGACTATTGCACTTCGGCTAAATCTGAGTGAGTACAACACTTCTGACAATAAACCTTTCAAGAAGGCTAAATAAAGTCAGTGGAGTGGCCACCGACCGGGACTGTAAGAAACTCGTACGAAAATAAGCCCAAAAAGTAAGTATTGTCTATTTGAATCATTTGATGAAAATTAATTGTCAAACTTTAGATCTGAAGGAAGAACCAGCGTTACACAAAACCAAAAGTTGAGGGTGATCCAGACTGCAGGTCATTCGAAGAACCCGTCTCTGAGTAACTCTAATAGGGTTCATGACTACCAGGTAATGACTAGTCTTATGTATTAGACAAAGAGAGATAGGAATCTGAATAAGATCTGGATGAAAATCAGAAAAATTTCAACAAAGAGGTCATCAAACCCGAGCATGAAGAAGAAAAACACGAAGAAAAAGTTAGCACATATGGAGTACCTTTCTCTCTGATAATCCCTTGTAGCTATCCAGAAGGCAGGAAATCGTACAAGACGCCAATCATCGACAAAACAGTAGTTTTGAAGTAAGAAGAATACCTAATTTTTAAAATTTGATTTATACTTTTAAATTCAGTAAAAGTTATCATCGGATAGAGTCTCTCCAGAAATTAGAAAGATTAAAAAGATGAAAGGGATAAAAACAGCCCGAGTCAAGAAAAGTTCTGGGAAGAAGCCCATCAAGTATAATTTAGAAAAGTGCTTGGGGTTGGGCACAGATGAAAATGCTAATACTCCATTGAAGCAAGCTCAAGAAAATAGTTTGTGGGTTTTAACCATTTAGGCAATTTAGATGAATACCTTACCCGAAACTCAAAGGTTAGCGACACTCCTAGTAGTTCTAAGTAAGCCTAGTGTTTGACCAGTTTAGATGATCAATTAAACAAGCAGGAGAGAATAACTCCTTACTTCTAAACACAAATTATGCCAGTTCATTAGCACAAGAAGTGCAGTACCTAGAGTCCAAGAAGAAATCTCTTCTGTGAGATATTGCTTCTCTAGAGCATAAAGTCAAGACTCTCAAAGATGAAAAGGAGGCTCTTGAGATGGAGAAGGTACAAGACTATTACCGAGAGATACAAATGAGAGACCATAACATATTCCTTTAAAACAATTAGCCTAATTTTTAGGTTCAGTCATAGACTTGCCAAATGGGGTTTTGGGGTTTTGGGGTTTTGGGGTTTTGGGG